CACCTCCATGTCAGCCCCTACCTCAGGGTCACCTCTTATGGAGGTCAGTCAGCCCCTACCTCAGGGTCATCTCTCATGGAGGTCAGTCAACCCCTACCTCAGGGTCACCTCCATGTCAGCCCTACCTCAGGGTCATCTCTCATGGAGGTCAGTCAGCCCCTACCTCAGGGTCACCTCTCATGGAGGTCAGTCAGCCCCTACCTCAGGGTCATCTCTCATGGAGGTCAGTCAGCCCCTACCTCAGGGTCACCTCCATGTCAGCCCCTATCTCAGGGTCATCTCTCATGGAGGTCAGTCAGACCCTATCTCAGGGTCACCTCCATGTCAGCTCCTACCTCAGGGTCACCTCCATGTCAGACCCTACATCAGGGTCATCTCTCATGGAGGTCAGTCAGCCCCTACCTCAGGGTCACCTCCATGTCAGCCCCTACCTCAGGGTCATCTCTCATGGAGGTCAGTCAGCCCCTACCTCAGGGTCACCTCCATGTCAGACCCTACCTCAGGGTCATCTCTCATGGAGGTCAGTCAGCCCCTACCTCAGGGTCATCTCTCATGGAGGTCAGTCAGCCCCTATCTCAGGGTCATCTCTCGTGGAGGTCAGTCAGCCCCTACCTCAGGGTCATCTCTCATGGAGGTCAGTCAGCCCCTACCTCAGGGTCATCTCTCATGGAGGTCAGTCAACCCCTACCTCAGGGTCACCTCCATGTCAGACCCTACATCAGGGTCATCTCTCATGGAGGTCAGTCAGCCCCTACCTCAGGGTCATCTCTCATGGAGGTCAGTCAGCCCCTACCTGAGGGTCATCTCTCATGGAGGTCAGTCAGCCCCTACCTCAGGGTCATCTCTCATGGAGGTCAGTCAGCCCCTACCTCAGGGTCATCTCTCATGGAGGTCAGTCAGCCCCTACCTCAGGGTCATCTCTCATGGAGGTCAGTCAACCCCTACCTCAGGGTCACCTCCATGTCAGACCCCTACCTCAGGGTCATCTCTCATGGAGGCTTGACTTTTGTAAATAATTAAAGTTATTTTACTTGCTTACTTTACTTACTTAAGCTCCTATATACTTCTACTCCGCTTCAATTCAGGGGCAAATATATTTTTTACACTCTTAAGATCAGACTGGATATAATTAATTAGTCCCACATTTTTCGTCACAGCAGCAGAAAGGCACGATACATTAGTTAAAATCTTAGTCAAATAAAAATATTGCATATTTTCATCACTTTTTTTGTGCTTTTGTATGTCTTGTGCTACCTTAAATGTTCCCAATATGAGATAAATAAAGATATTATCTTATCTGTTCTTATTGAATATAATTGAATCCTATCTATTTCATCTGATTTTATATCAAGCCATGTCCAGAGAAGCATTATCCCATGTTTCCTCTCTCCTCAGGTTATTATGGGGAGGGTCTGAACGCCATCATCGTTTTCTCCGCCTGTTACCTGCCGGACAGCAGCTGCTCCGACTATCACTACATCATGGAGAACCTCTTCCTGTGAGTCAAATCTAATATTAAAATACACGTTTTAATAATAATCATACAGGGTTTATTTAAAGTACAAGCAGGCATCTCAAGAAATCAAAAATAGGATCCACGGTTAGTTTCATTTTAAAGTTAACAAAGGGTCAGCAAATAAAAAATAAAAGCACTGGTTGCAATAAAATCATTATTTATATAAAATGAAAAGGAAAATTAGATGTAAGACAATTGTCTTGTTGGTGGTTATGGATAAAAGATGGTCGGAAATGTATGAATACAATTATTATTTTACGTAAAACTGAAATATTTAAAGGGTAATCAAGACCAAATCGGAATTAAACTACAACATAGGCATGAAAATATTAAATATTAAATATATAACTATACACATAAGCTGTGTGTAATAAAAATGCAAGCATAAGAAAGAGTATGGCACTAATGTAATTCAAAAAAAATGATTAAATGTGGGATAAATAAGAATAAAGCACAGTATACAAATATTATAAGGAGGTGTGTGTGTCAAATATTGCTGTTTTGTTTGTGTTTTTGAGGCTTCTTTTGCCTCACAATCCCTCCATGATGCCGTACACTTTCATATGACTGTTTTTGGGGTTAATGCAGTGTTTTCCTGTTTGCACAGAAACCCCCTGACAGCTGTCCTCCTCCTGCAGGTACGTGGTGAGCAGTCTGGAGATGCTGGTGGCTGAAGATTATCTGATCATCTACATGAACGGAGCGACGCCTCGAAACAAGATGCCCGGCATCGGCTGGCTGAAGAGATGCTACCAGATGATTGACAGAAGGTGGGAGACTATGGAGAAAGTACTCCCACATATATGAGATTATACGGTGGATAATTGGATAATTAAAAGTTGACTAGAATCAGAGTTGGGTCCACTATGCTATATTTATCTGCTGAGCATTATCACAGTCAGTTTACAGAAAGCATGACATTGATGCTGACAGATAGAGAGGGGGGGGTTAATGGAAGTTGTCCCTTTCTGTCAGTCAGAGGATGATTCAGAGGTTATATTTAAAACTGGACTCTGCTCAGAGAAAGCCTCTTGTTAAAGGAGTGCCTCACCCACACAAATGATCATTTATATATCGATGACACACCCTGTGTTACCTTTATATCCTGCAGAAAGGCAGTGTTTTTGGCATGCCTTCACGATGAACGAAGATTCCGTTGATTCGAGAAAATGGTTTCTGATTGAGATAAATGGGGGTTTGAGCGTAGAATAGCAAATCTATGTTTAAAAAGAATTGTGTACAAACTCTCACACAGCTTGTGCACTTTAATCCAAGTCTCACTACTTCACAATCATATAATTCTCACTAAAAAACATACTATTCAAAAAACAGTCTCACACTTTCAAGTTCAAGCATTCAAGTACGTGATGAATATTAAGGTTGTAGTGAAAAGCACTTGTTTGTGAACTACTGACATATGAGTGGATAAATGAGACTGTGTAAGTGTTTTTAAACATATATTTTGATGTAGACTTGCTGTTGTTATTAACTTCAATTCTAACTTAAATTCATCAAGAATTTTCTCAGTGTCTTGATGCTTTGTTCACCATAGAGGCATGTGAGAAATAAAACGTTTTTCTGCAAGAATTCAGGGTAAACGGGGTGAGTAATTGATGTAGGAATTATCATTTTGTGGTTGAAGTACTACATGTATTTTGTAAACACTAACTAAACACTGCTAACTGAATGGACTGATTATTTGTGTTGTGTTGGCAGATTGAGGAAGAACCTGAAGTCCTTGGTCATCGCTCATCCCACCTGGTTCATACGCACCGTGCTGGCTATATCCAGACCATTTATCAGGTAACACACACACACACACACACACACACACACACACACACACACACACACACACACACACACACACACACACACACACACACACACACACACACACACACACACACACACACACACACACACTACACACACACTACACTACACACACACTACACTACACACACACACACACACACACACACACACACACACACACACACACACACACACACACACACACACACACACACACACACACACACACACACACACACACACACACACACACACACACACACACACACACACACACACACACACACACACACACACACACACACACACACACACACACACACACACACACACACACACACACACACGATAGAATGAGTTTGAACCCAGATCTGTGAAACCGAACATACCTCGTCTATTTTTATTAAATGAAGTATTTTTGTACAGTGAAAGGGATCCAGACGTTCTCCAGGCACTCCCCCCCCTCTGAATGTCGTTATTATTTGTGGGGGGGGGTCAGATGTAAATGTTTGTAAGATAGTTAGTGTTAGAGGGAGAACTGGATCCCGCTTATTTTTTTATATTAATGGCACATTTTTGTTTCTGCTCATTATTTTTGTGCAATATAAAAGACAATTAAATAAAAACGTTTTTCTGTATTTGAATAAATCAGCTGGACCTGAGTCGTGTTTATCTGCGCTCCCATTGGACGGCGTGTTTATCTGCTCTCCCATTGGACGGCGTGTTTATCTGCGCTCCCATTGGACGGNNCACACACACACACACACACACACACACACACAAGCCGATCAACCATGTTTCAAAGTGGGGAATCCATCCATTCTTTTGCACAGGTTAAAAGGATTTTTCGCAGTAGTGATGTGCAAAAATAAACAAACAAACACATTGTTGGTATCAGGTAAGGATTGGGTACTGAACATCCAAGTGTTCATGAATCCCCGACTTTACCCACTTGCCACCCACACACTTTACTGCAAAAGCTTAAAAAACCACATGCTCCTTGTGTGGTCCCATTTCCAGGGTTGGGAGCTTTAAGTCGTAAAGCAGAAACAACATGGAGGTCTCAAAGAAGATGTATTATAATATATTACCCAGAGACTTTAAACAACACATTGATATCCATTTCCAGTATTGTGCATGACAAAAAAGAGCAAACAAATAAGGCAAGCTCATCGAGTGACACAGCCTAAAGCCTAACTACAAGTGGGATGCTAAATCAAAGCACACAAATGAATATGTTTTATTCATTGCTATGTAAACTTAAACATGATCACTAGTAATTTACAACTCCAAAGGTTCGATTCATTAATATTTATCAACTCAAATACCGTGAAAAGAGACATCAGTGTTTGGTACTACTGATCACAACGAACAGATCTGCTTTAAATTCACCATTATAATGATGTAACTATAACATTAGTAACGCAGTGACCATAACAGTGTGTGTTTGTGTTTTCCTGTGCAGTGTGAAGTTCATGAATAAGATCCAGTACGTGCACAGTCTGGATGAACTGGCAGAGCTCGTCCCCATGGAGCACGTCCATGTTCCTGAGTGTGTGGTGCAGTGAGTATCTCTGAACACTGGGGGGGGGGACGAGCCGCTGCAGATTCTCCTGCTGTCTTTACTATAACAACACTCACATGTAGATCTGGAGGCAGAGGAGGAAAAAGTACTTGACTGTATACCTAAGTACTACTTAATTAGAAGCAGAAACATTTGAATTACTAATACTTGCCTGAGAAAAGTATATATTCATTATTAGCTAAATATACTCCAATTAAAATGATTTGTTGTGCAGTAAAATCATCTCCGTCAGTGTTTTGCTTTATATTTTTATATTTATATTGCCTCTTTATTGATATATATATGTTGTATTTGATTGCTCAAAATGTTTAAGGATGCTCTTAATTTAAAAATGTCTACCCAGAAAAACCCTTAAGCCTTCAGTCTATCAGTAACATTTAAATTCTAAAGCATCTAATTAGGTGTATAGCTTTCCCCTTTATTAGATGTAGTGGAATAGAAATATAATGTAGTATAAAATGAAAAGTTAAGTAAAAGTAACTCTAATTTGAATATTATCTACATATAAAATATAGACTACGTTTAGCTTTTATTGACTTGTTCTTTAATAAAAGTGAAATAAGAGTATTTGATTTACTGGAGGATATAACACTGTTACTCATTTTCAGATTTGACGAGGAGAGGATTAAAGCACGGAGGGAAAGGTAAAATATATTTTATAAAATTACTCCTTCATACATTTTTATTGCACATAACATAACTGCACTTGAAATCGACCCAAATTACTACTGTGTGTGTGTGTGTGTGTGTGTGTGTGTGTGTGTGTGTGTGTAGGATGGAGCAGGAGCACAGACAACAGGAGCAGCAGTCAGTCCCACAGGAGCCAATTAAAAAGTCTGAGAGGTACAAATCATATTTTTCTCAGTGGACATTTTACTAGTTTGGGTCATTTGTTATTTTATTTTTAATAAGTTGTCACATCTCAACATTTCTTAAAGTTCTCTCTTATTTTTTCTATTTTGCAGGCCAAAGTCCATGGTTGTAAATCAAGGATTATGAGGACAGAACTTTGCAGGAAAAAGGTAATAAAAAACACTGTTTTATTTATTTTTCTTTGCTATGAAATCGATTAACCACATTACATGTTTACACAATTGTTTAAATAGTGAATCGTAAATGCATGTCCAGTCCGCGCATACCGTTTAAGTACAAAGATTTGATTAAGAGTGGTGTCCAATATTACAATATTTCAAGATTACTTTTTCTGCATTCTTTTTTTTTTTCTTATTTCTCAGTGTTGTACAATGATGAAAAATAAGATCGTTAAACCTTGAAATATTCAGTAGAGGAGAGCGAGGTCACATTGTTTTTAGCACAACATAACCTTACATTACTCACAGACTATATTCATTTAATAATTAAAGTAATTGGTTCACTATCAATAGACAAGTTTTACAAAATGTAAAAGTCAACATTTTGAGTGCATTTTCCCCTGAAATCTGTGCACAAAACAAATTGAAATTGAAAGATTTGAGTCCATATTTGAACACCTTTTATTAACATAATGCTTTTATAATTTACATATATCTCTGTTTCTTTATAGAGTGTGTGACGGACGTATGGAGCATGAACACTTCAATTTATTCCCGTATGAAGCAGAGGGTCCAACAAGTCTTCATATGCTTCCTTGTTATGCCAACATCTACCCTCTGTGCAACATGAAAATGTAAGAAGGAAGTCGACGTGGAAACTGTCATTGTTGGGTTCATAGTCATTATCCTGCTGTGTTTGGACCTGCTAACTTATACTTATATCATCGTGAGGCTCTGAAAAACCAGGACCTTGATTTTGGCAATGTTGTAACTTGGGGATTGTAACTCTAATTGTGGAAACTGACGTTGTAACTCCAATTGAAAGCCCCTGCAGCTTCAGAGTGCATACAGTTGTTACACGTCCATTTAATATAATGATGTTACTTATCAATAAAAAAAACTAGACAGTCGGCAATTCTGCAAACACAGCCTAACATCAATCAATTTGAACAAATTATCAAGACATAACTAGGCAACTAATATTGCTAACCCCGCTCTGTGCGGCCTAAAAACGTTCTGCTCTCAGTGGTCCTAAGCTACAGTGCTGTCCGCAGCTAACTGAGTTAACAGCTAACTGTGCTAACAGCTAACTTTGCTAACAGCTAACTGTGCTAACATATAACTGCACTAACAGATTAGTGGCCTAACAGTTAACTAAGATAATAGTTAACTAAGCTAACATCAAACTGAGCTAACAGAAAACTGATCTCACAGCTACCTGTATCTACAGCTGACTGAGTTAACAGCTAACTGAGCTAACAGCTACCTGTACCTACAGCTGACTGAGCTAACAGCTAACTGATATAGTAGCTAACTGAGCTAACAGCTAACTGATATAGTAGCTAATTGAGCTAACATCTACCTGTACCTACAGCTGACTGAGCTAACAGCTAAATGATATAACAGCTAACTGAAATAACAGCTAACTGTACCTACAGCTGACTGAGCTAACAGCTAACTGAG